GTATGTTACTAGATCACTGTGATAGTTTTTTTGCCTACCAGAGGTTGGTATAAACTATGGCGGGCAGTCAAAAGAGTAGCGTGCTCACAAAGTGTTAAAAATCTCACGTCACTGCCACAGTGCCAAATAATAAACCTAGCTCCTGTTTCAGTAATAATGGGGAAAAAGTGTATTTTGAGGCGAATCTCGTTCCCGACCAGGAGCAAACTTTCTGGAAACCGCAAAAACCACATACAAATGATTTAATTGAGTATTATGTATAGCTACCAGTGTTAAACTACAGCGACCACAATTTTGCTAAAACAAAATTGACACTATTCTTATGCTTGGTAGATTACTGTGACGATGAATACCCGCTGATTCTTTCGACGAACTCGCATTGCAATATCAGCTATCCTGGCGGTCTCCTGAGAGGAGACCCAACCAGCCTTTCGTCCACACAAGCCGACTGTTCCTGGATGATACAAGCCGTTATTGGCCAAGTCATCCGGATTCGCTTCCTGGTTCCAAGTACGCAGCGCTACCTCGAGGGGTTTCAGTTGGAAATCTTTGTTGGGTCACAGGCAAATGCGCAATTCAATACAATAAGGGAGTCGAGCAGGGTAATCTGGAGTCCTGATATCCGGATCACGTTTCGACACGCTTTCTTTCGGTATCCGTCGAGATTTCTGCTTCAGGTTGCATCTGAATATCCAGGTAAACCCGGGCATTTCAGTCAAAGGTCTGACGACACCCTGAAAATAAAACGATGATATTTAAAGATAAGTACTCATACAGTGACGACATCTTGAAAATAACATGACGACATCGTAAGATAATTCATCACGGGATGACAACATCTGAAGGGTAGGATTCCAACATCCCCTGTGTTGGTGAGGAGCACTGCAGCTGATCAAATCATGATCGCTGCAGGGTGCATAGGGGCCAAACCCAACCCTGAAAGATAATAAAAGCCGCAAAGTCAAACAAGCGAAAGACGGAATAAAGAAGATGAAAATCACCAACTTAACCGAAAATACGTCCGAGTTGACCCCTCCCATTGTTAATGGTTTGTAAGCTTGCTACTGATGAGTGCCACCCCTCCCCCGGAAAACAATCCTGGAGAAGCCAAGGTTAAAAGCTTTCTCGTTAAATATGAAGGAATGGCTAATCTTTTTAAAATATTTACACAGCGTTATGTCATGGTCAGACGGAATTTAGATGTGAGCCAGACAATATCTGCATCCCCTTCAGTAAGAGATGCGATGGATTCCCAGATTGCGACAGCAAACGAGATGAATGTGGCTGTGGTAAATAAGAAAATGTTGAGATTTTTAGGTATTTTGATTTCATGACACAGACCTTACAATTGCATATTTTCTTTCATAAACTTAAGGTTAACCCTAACAGTCCCAAATCCTCCGATTTCAATTTGATTTTACACACGCCCCAAGGGGTTAGATTAATGTACGTAGCAGGGATTTAATTATGAACAAATGTGTGCTGATGAGTTACCTTTCGAAAAATGCTTGCCTTTTTCTTAGGAGAATGCTCCTCTGACATGCTTCGGTGCTTAAGGCCTGAAGGGCTGTCGGAATGCTTGCACCAAGATTTAATTTGTGACGGAAAGGCAGAGTGTGCAAATATGTATGATGAGCTTCATTGCGGTAGGTGCCTATTCATTTAGTATAACTACGTGGTAACGCCACCCCAAGAAAACTTTGGAATCACGACCTTCAATTTGTTGTGAAATTTACTAGTGACATAGTGGTCTTTGTCATTGTTTAAAACTTTGGCACTCTCGATTTTGGTCTTCCCGTTATTTTTTGCAAAAGATCATCTCAAAACATTTAGGTTCATCGGATCTGAATTTAACTGTTAAGCATAACAATCCCCATCTACTGTTAATCTTCTTTTGACGCAACAGGTGTATGCGGCCCACCTGCTAATCTTTCTCGAGGGGGCATCGCCCGGCTGTCCGCTCCGCACGCCTCGGCTTACAAATCATTGACTTGTCTGTGGTTAGTGTACGCTTCTCCTGGACACTTCATCAACATCCGCGTCAAAAATATATCCCTCACCGAGTCGGCGGCCATCTTGGTCGGCTCTGGACACGATCCAAGGGATGTGAGTTCGACAGTTCTGAATAAAACAACGGGCACGATTCCAAGAGTCTTTACAATTCTGTCAGCGGAGGTGTGGATATCTACCACAGTCCCGAAAGACTCTGTGGCTTTCTTCCTTTTCGAAATGACACAATTATGTGAATTAGGTAAGTATGCTAGACGCGAGATTTAACATTACACTTCAGCGAAGGATCCAGTGTGAATTCACAAGGCTGCTACTCCCTGTATTTCAGCCTCTTGGATCCTCCCAATGCTGCTATACCCTGGAACGATTCAGCCTTCTCCTGGAGTCACATGGTGAAATACATTCTTTAAAAGTAAGCGTATAGCCTTTGCATACATAGCCACAATGTCAATCATATTAAGGTATAGCCATTGATATTGGTCGAGTGCCTCTCACATGGCCGGTCTTAAACGGTTGATAAAGCACTGGCTGGCTCAGTGCTACCTCACGAAGTGAGTGCTATACGCACGCCAACCTGCACAAGGAGACTGTTTGCGGCTACTCGCGAGAGAGCATACCGTATAATGGTTACATGGGCGTTTGAAAAATGAAAACAGTTAACAAAGTCGTTGGAAATTTATAATTTTAAACTTCCTATGACTTTGTGACTCGAAAGGTACTGCGTGCATTCTCCTGAGCAGGTCTTGGACGCATTACACTAGAAGAAAATGAACGTTTAAGACTAGGCAAGCACATTATTATTTACTCTTTCATCACAAGGCGTATCTTATCGATCTTGTTCAATGTTGTCAATTGCAGTGCAATGTAACATCACCACCGAATTTGCCTGTTCGTCTGGAGTCCAGTGTGTACCTATCGACTCACGCTGTGATTCTGTACGCGAATGTCACGATTATTCTGACGAATTGGGATGCTGTGAGTAACGTTTCGTAAAAAAAAAAAAAAAAAAAGTAATCTGTGCAGCAGATAGGATTTGTTTATGTTGGTCAGAGAGCTGGCGATTCGAATCAAGTCGTGGGCCAGGATGTTGCGTCCATACGCAATCCACTTATACCCTGCTTGCTTCCCCCACCCAGGAGTATGGACACTAACATTGAGTCTACCCGCCTTGGACTTTGCAGGAAAGGATACAGCATATTGATTTGCTTCATGCTACAAACAAATTGCAGATAAACGACCCTACAGTGAGCCATATTGGGTCAAAGTACACTTTACTTACTAGGCTGTTTTGCTGGAGGCAAAGACATTGGTGAACAGGAGTCCAACATCCATGGGTGTAGACCTATGTCCATCCAATGGTGAAAAAATCCCTGTTAAAAACCGCTGTTAAATGTCTTCGTGACGACTGTTGGGTAAAACAACTTTTTTGGGGCTAAATTACTGCTGATGCATAAAGCGGTCATTCAACGAATGATGAACCGCTTTAGGATTAAAAGGGACTATGTCGTTGGCTACTATAGGCAAAATGTTTCTTACATTTTGGTGGATTTTTTTTTCAATTTTCTGCGACGGCGTACGTAGCATGTACCTGTAATTCCCTGAATATTTCCATACGTGTATTTGTTAAAATGTCTGATATGTAAAATAAAGCCACCAAGGGCATTTATGTGTTTTTAATTTAATTTTCTTTGGATTAGCAACTTGTGGTGAAGATAAATTTCATTGTGGTCACAACGACAAGTGTTTGGACAGTCAGCAGATATGTGACGGTTTCATCGGATGTGCCGACTACTTCGAAGACGAATGGGACTGCTGTAAGTCCAAAGCCTTCTTTAATTAAAAAATGCATACAATGGAAGATACATTCCTCGTCCTATAGATATCTGCCTAGTATATTATATTAAGCCTTTAAGTACACCTGACCAAATAACTAAATAATGTTAACCTATTTCGTAAATACGTATGCTTCGTTTTCACTCGAGGCAGATTCGACATGTGGTTCTCGTACGGTTAATGTGAGCACCACCCCTTTCCTCATGGTGACGTCGATCAAAGGTCAGGTACAAGCATGCGTGTGGCAGGTTACCAGCGACAACAACACTTTCATCACTTTGAGAGTCCTGAAGATGGACATTGGACCTCAGAGCTTCGTGGCGTTCGGTAACGGGCTGGGAATGTCCGTGCCATCCTCACTGATAGCTAACGAAACCGACGTCCAAGCTGTCGGAACCCTGTACTTCTTCGATGGAAATCAGGTGTGGATGGTGGCGGGAACATTCAGAAGTCTATTTGACATTAAGGTCAAGTTTTCTGCTGAAAAAGTCAAAGGTGAGACATTACCGTATTCTAGATTACAGAATCTCTGACATCTCGACTAAGGGAATAGGTTTCAGAGGCTCTGATACTTTAACTTGGCATTCCTCCTCACTATAGATTTTAATAGGATGTCTTAGGTCAAGACCGCAACATTTTGGTTTGCTTGCCACGCTTATCAACCACCTTCCTTGTCAGAGAGGGTGCCATGGAATCATAAAATGTGCGCCAGTCATTAAAATCGGCTTGGTCTTAGGCGAGACGAATTTGACAGCCACATTTAGGCCTACTCCTCCAACGTTATGGATATACAAACAGAATTGTCCTTTTTGTGAATACATGTGAGATGAAACAATGAATGGAATTAAAGCACCTCTCCTGGTGGTATTGGCGTCCGTTGTCCCCTTTTCATGTAATTATATTATACAATACTACGTTGCCCATACCCTCTTCGCACTCCCATATACGATTAGGCTCTTGCATTGTATGGAGTAAAAATCATTCTAACAGTGACCGTTTCTTCAGAATATAAGCAAACATTGTCAATATTGTCAAGCTGTTCAGTGCAAGGTTAATGTCACTGAATGCAATCTCCTTTGCTCAAGAATCGTGCCTTGAATGGAGTAATTTATTTCAGGCATCAATTTGTATTTTCGTTTGGAAGGTTCTTGCAACGATCCAAGCTTGCACAGCGGTTCAAAGTGTGTGCCTAGCAGTTCAAGATGTAATGGGAGAGCAGATCTACCAAACTACGCAGACGAAGTTGATTGCGGTAAAATACATTTTATAGCCTGTCACAAAAGGCTTGCCACCTGCTAAACTGACTTTGGGTGATTCGATCATTCTGTGCAGTGTCAATGAAAATGCTTGGGAAATCTGAATGACATTTTCCAGGGGGCTATAAGGCACGCCTTAATCTAATATTTTTTCCTTTGATAAAAATTTGGAACATTGAATAAACTTTACAACCCCCTCCAAAGTAAGCACAGAATGGCATTCTGTAGTCGTAGAATTTTGTTCTGAGTGGCCGATCACCTTTAAAAAATTGATCTGATTGAAAAGTTACCATTTGGATGAAACAGAAGATCGATTGCAGAGGTCGATAACTAGAGCTTCGATGATTTTTATGCATTCAGATTTTTGCGGAACCACCAGTCTGAATCTTTCAACACACGAGGAATTGGTGACAGTGAACGTTTCTTATGACGTAGTGAGTGCAAGGCAACGTGTAATGGTCTCTGTACGTGCTGATCAAGAAGTCACCGACATTGCCGGCAGTGTATCAAACGTGAGCGAGTGCGTGTGGAAGGTTACCCCGCCAGCAGGTACTGGCACTCGAATAGCGATTGAGGTTGCCGAGTCACGGGGAAGCAGTCTGCGCATCGGTGACGGCTATGACCCAAGCTTGGGTACACCGATTTTGTCGACAGCGGAAGTGCTTATACCTAGGACCGCGTTTTCCACGGAGTCGGCCCTGTGGATAACAACTGGTTTGTGCACTTATGCATGGCGCTCGTACCGGCTGCAGTTTACCATCTGGAGTTACACAAGCATTGGTAAGGAAGAAGACAGTTTACGTGAACAGTATCGCATTAACTTCTTCCTTTGCATGCACAGTATTCGTGTATTTGTTTGACATCAAAGAAGGTAGGTGCCGTTTTAGCTTTACCAAGCGCTTTAATTGATGCAATTTAAAATAACTTCAACCAATTGACCCACAGCCTGATTACTCGTCAATAAATCTTTTGCAGTATTAGGACAGCGGGTGGCTCAGTAGCAAATTATGCAAGCAGTTTGTTACTGAGAATAAAACAATAAGTGCTGGAAACTTTGCTCAAATGTTCTCGCCAACAGATTGCGACGATAATCAGTACTCGTGTCCCTCAGGAACTAAGTGTCTGGAGCCGGCTTCTGTCTGTAACGGTATTCACGAGTGCCCCAGTTACGCTGACGAGATGCAGTGCAGTGAGTAACAGTGGCGTTTTCTACACCGAGCACACACCCATCAGGGGGAAGCTTATATATGCTCCTGCGCTCATTTCTGAAATTTTAAAATTTTGAAATGTGCGTACACTTCCGGATGTGTCCCCAAAGGAATTTCATCCTAAGTGTACGCGCGCATCGCTCTAATAGCACGGCACACCAAGTTAGGACTGAAAAACTAGATTAGCGCCTAGCAGAAAGGGAAATGAAGAATATGTCCGATTTATATGACGTCGGTGACAAAAAGGGAGTGAGAACGTAAATGAAATCGTTAACACATTATGTTGTGGCCTGGCTGTGTGCAATTGATCCACAGTCAGAAAGGTGGAAAGGCGATGAAGGTACTGCTACAGTGTCAGTCTAACGACATTGTAACTCATTTTCAGTGGCTGCCAGGGTTTAATTAGCCTTATGCTTATTTCTAAAATGACAGACAGCTGTAAGAAAGATGAATTCGCCTGCTCAGCGGACAAGTGCATACCACGCGACGCGGTTTGCAATCAGCAGTCCAACTGTGAAAAACTAAATGATGAATTTTCGTGCGGTAAGTTCTCATGACCTATAGCGCTAGTTTATTATACAGCTTTGAACCATGAGATTAGCAATATTCTGATTCTTGCATTTTGACGTGACCTTTACGTGTATTTTAAAATGTTTTTGATGACGTCCAAAAACGTCACATCTCAAAATGTATAGTCAATGGGTTACTGCCATTCAAAAAATCATAAAAATTTGTTATTAGCTTTTTCAAAAGACACACAGAAAGACAACAATTGGGTGTTAAAAAACAACCTCCCCCAAGCTAAAATGAAAATGGTGGTACTACATTTCATCAGAAAATTCCTGTACTAAAGAGTTTTGTGGTCTTCCTGCGGGATCCTCGTTTTGTCGGGCGTGCCCATTAGGCGCCGTTGCTGGAATTTCCTTCACACGTTGACTGTCTCATGCATGGCATTTATCGGTTAACTGAACGGTAGAGTCGTAGCCCAGGTGAGAAGTATTCCATAGGCGCAACGTCCCTCCAAGTGCCTAGCTGACTGGCACTTTCCAAAATTTTTTTTTAAATACTTAGAACACAATTATGTCAATCTTTGATTAGTATGGAAGATTCTTTGTGAAGTTCCAGTATGTGACCAACAGTTGCTACAATGAAAGACCTCATCTCATACATTAATGCAGGTTTCTGCAGGGAGCCAAATATAGAGCTCAACGCCTCGGTCAAACATTTTTCTACGGAGGGCAAGCATAACTACAACTGTTTATGGACTGTCACTGCCGAACCAACTACTCGAATTCTGGCCAGACTCCTCACGCGCGGAGATTCCCTCACCACCTTCTGTGATGGAAACTACAGAGACTATGTGCGACAGATTGACGTGAACCAGTGTACAAAACTGGCCCAGTTATCAATTAGGCCTACAAGCGGTGCAGTAGCATTCCGCCGACACGTAGTTTCGAGCGGCTCCACGATGTGGATCGAGAGTACGTCTGTCTGGGACGATCCTGGCTCGTACCTCACTATGACACTCGAGCAGTTCGTAGGTGTCGGTGGGTACAAAATGTTCTACCTCTAAAGCAAAGGCCTATGTAGCATTTTGTCGTAGTTATTCGTTTGTTCCCTTACTGTCTTTCATAGAAGTCAGAGGATCTTTTACGTGTAGCCTATCCAGGTGGAACAACAGCACCGCCCCACAAGATGACTGCTGAGCAAAATTCGATTGTCTGTGTACATAAATATTCTAATGCTCCATAATAAATTTTCTGACTTTTAAAGGTAAAAAAATGTTAATAATGATAAAACAATAAATAAATAAAATGTTTGTTCATGAATGGGTGTCGATTTTTGGAAAGATTATGCACTTTTGCATAAAAAAGGAATCCTCTCCCACGCAAAACGGTTCTACAGTACACCGTTTCGAGGCAGGGAAATTGCCCCCGTCTTGAATATTGAGCAGAAAAAAAATCTATTCATGCTTATCTCTAGGGAACAAAACTCTGACCTGCATAATAGAAGATCAGATGTTAAGGGTACCGTTAGGCAATCGCCTCTTGCCAAACACTGTATACTGAAAATCATTGAAGTACATAACACTGTCATGCCCATGTAAAAACACTTGACCTTTTTTGCCAGAGTGCCAAAGTGAACAATTTAAATGTCCTTCTGGAACTGCCTGTATCGACCAATCAGCTGTCTGCGACGGCTGGCCAGACTGCCTCGAGTTTGAGGACGAATTTGGATGTAGTAAGTGCAGCGCAAATATCAATTTTAGTTATGTTTCGTCGGTATAAATACCCTGGTGTCATTTCCATTTGATAACTGTCACATGGCCCAGTAGCGTACCTAAAGGGAGTGGGCAAGAGGGGCACTTAGCTTGCCCACTAGGGAAGGTATGTAAAGTTTTGACTATGTACACAATCTACGTGCAAATCTCAGTCCATCGGTTTTCGATAGTCCCTGTAACTATTCGTGCACCTATCAATACGTCATGCGATTTAGCAGAATAAGAACCTGTTGATAACAAAAAGGGTGATTCACAATACAGTGCGCCACCAAGACGCTTTTCCAGTTTACGGTCGACAAAAGCACAGCCGCCTTAACGCGGCCGCGATTGGATTGAGAGTACGAAAGTAAAAAACTTGGGGAACTTATATGGTCAAACTGGGACATTCCATGCAAAAGACAGAAGAAATGATCAATTAAAAATGATTCTCGAAATACACTGACGAATCTTCTTCCCTTACAAACAGACATCCCCGGGCACAGGCGACATTAAAACGTGTCAATCGTTTCCCACAATGTACTAAAAAAAATGACCTTGCGATCCGTGGCAACCTCTTGGTGGCGCACCGTACGGTGTTTCTCTCGTACTGTGACAGATTCTCTCATCATCAGCTACGAGGCTATGTTAATTATTTGTCTCGTTTGTTTCGACATTTACAGCATGTAATTAACTCACAGCAACATTTATTGGGGTTTTGTCGCAGGAGGTTGTTGTGAAGAATGTCTTGCGTGTGGCCCATCCGAGTGCGTGCCAAGGCTGGATATTTGTGACGGAGTCTCACACTGTCAAGATCACACTGACGAATTCAACTGCGGTAAGCCGTTAATGCAAACTATTTGTTTAAACAAAATGCCCTTGTTTAAGCATCACATTTTGTGTTTAAAATATTATGATTAATATTTAATTATTAATGTTAATATTTAATTAAATATTGTGTTTAAAATATTGTACATAAGCTGCTGCCAATCAATATAGGAGGTCATATTTTGACAAGCTGATAAAGTCTAGAAATTTCCTTTAAATCTTCCTTTAAAATCACAACAAACCTCAGTTTTTGTTTTTGATTGTAGAAAATGAAAATAGAATCACTTGCTATGCTTGGTCACTTGGTTACGGACACCTCAAAACCAGCGGTTTCACGGTATTTGGGAATTGTCATTTGGCATGTCCTTATACAGGTCCCTGTGGTGACACACGAATTAACGTAACTGGGCCAGGTTACGCCAATCTGACCTCGCCTGGATGGCCGGGGAACTACCCGTCAAATCTGAGATGCTATTGGGTTGCGATTGCACCCCAAGAAAAGAGAAACCTGGTCATATTTTTGGAATTCGATACCCAAAGCGGATATGATTACCTTAAGTTGTCAAACGGAATTCAATTTTCCCAGGGCCTCAAAGTCAGCGGGTAAGTCGCAGACGCTAAAATATTCGTTTTGCAATCAACAATTCCCTTATCCGCCTTGAGAAGAGGTACCCCCTCATCCGTTGAAAGGAGCCATGCTGGAGGGCAGTGTTTCGTCGGTATAGCGACACGCGTACACAACTCATGCCTTTCATACTCGTTCGTGAACCAGCGAAGTGTAGTTCCCACCATTGATCTCCATCATAAAAAAAAAATCTTTAAAATCTCCTTGATAAAAGAGATCAACGAATCCTGGATCCCACCAAAGGGAGCCTCTGTTGCTAGGAAAATCGCGCCCTCTCCTGGTCCCGTTCAGGCCCATAACACCTTCTTCCGTGCTTATAACTGCATAAATTTGAAGACTTAGCTTTGGCAAAACATACACTGAGGCACCAACTAGATTCTATGTGTGACATATTAGACAAAAGCGTAAGTCGACGCTTTCAAAACGTGAGCAATGTGTTTTAAATTCATATTGATGTACCTTAGATTCTTCATATAGATGTTGCAACCCGTTAAATACATTTTAATAAGCACCTTATGTTTGCTTTCGAATGCAGAAAAAACTTCCCCAGCAGGATGGCATCAAAGGGCAACGAACTGTCATTGCATTTCTTTTCCAACTACAACGACGGCAGGAAAGGGTTTTTACTTCAACTCGAACAAAGACCTGCCGACCAAAGTGAGACAGCAGTCAGGAAAATAGTATTATTACAATTAAAACGTGGTCCTTTTAAACATGTGTTGAAGTGAATTGGCCCCAAAATCTGCAGCGACAATTTCTTCATTTGCTGTTGTCTAATTTAACCATCGCAAACAGCAAATCTCGACAAATTCTGGATCTAAAACTACAATAGACTCTTACAAGGCAGAGCCAGTTCTAGCTTTCTGTAGAAAAAAAAGAAAATCTTATGTTAAAAAAACAGAAAATGAGAATAGCTAAGGGGGAAAGAAACGAATTGGGAGAGATGAAAAGAGGGGGGTATCACAAATTATAATGAAAAAAGTCTCAAAATTATCCTACCTCCCCTGCAAGCGCTTTGCGTCTCCAGGAAAGAACTGGGGGTCGATGCCCCCGTCGCAGAGACACAAATCACTCAAAGGTAATGGTCTGTAATCAAGCTTTACTTGAAATTTGCTAAAAATGGAAACTATGAATACATATCTTAATGTTCAGTTAAAGGATTTTTGTGCAGTGGGAGAAAGAAAAGATTCGCTGGAGAAAGATCCAAAATTCTGTATGAGCTCTCTTGATAGGAGTCAAATCACGTTTTGCTTACAAAATTTTGTCACTTTTCTGTCACTTGCGTTCAAGTTTCCTGTGGTGCTGGAGAGGTTTTATGTGACTATCAGTATTTTGTGTGTGTGCCTGAAAACACGGCAGGGCAGCGATGCCCCCAAAGTAAGTCTCTTCCCAAGCATTATAAATATTTCTGCTTCGCAGATTAATCTGCAATCAGAACGTAATTCTTCTTGAGTAATTTTGGGACGTTTTCATAGAGACGACGTAAGGTGCAAACACTCAGGTTTATTGAAGTAAGGTTACCATTTAAATTAATCAACCACTACACTGGTTAAAATGTCCAGCAAGTTTGGTTCTCTGCAGCAAAGATATTTGCGGATTCGCAAAACTTAGTAAAGTTAGATTTTTTAAAGCATCAGTTTAATTATTATGGCTCAGAGGAGAGCCTTCGCTAAAACTCCGCACACTTTCGCCCCTGCTGTTATGCATTGTTATGCATGAGTTCAACTTAACCTTATATATCTTCAGATAATTGTGGTGAGGAAACCATTACAGTGGACTTTGAACCAGTAGATTTCTTGTCACCAAAATACCCGGACAAATACCCCGCTGAACTGGCTTGCACCTGGACGATCACAACGGCGGAGGCCAACGTCATTTTCGTTCATGTCAAAGACTTCCAAACGGAACCCTCTCACGATGTTTTGAAATTAAAAGGTCAGACATTTTACAGCGCCTCAACCTCCCAGTTCTCTTTAGACGGGAAAACAAAAGTTCGCAGTGTGGTCTTCAATTCGTCATCGATTGTCATTGAGTTTATTTCGGATTCAGCATCTGGAGGAAAGTTTCACTTGTCACTTCAAAGCAACTTTTCTTCATACAGTAAGTATTAACAGGTATCATTGGGAAGAATTGCTTGAATCTGAGACTGGGAGTAAATGGCATAAATCAACAGACCATGGAGCTGAAGGTACATACTCTATTACTACCACTTATCGCTCTATCCGTAAAATCGTTCCGGAGTTTTCAGAGATCATGGGCAGAAACTCATACATTAAAGCGCTGGTGTCAACCATAAAATCTTCCATTCATTCGTCAATTTCAAATGCGATTATCAATTTCACTCCTGAGTGATATAACACGCATAAATTACTTTATTACACCGTTGTGATCTGTGATCATGCTTCGGAAAAAACACGATGTCTGATGGGTACAACGAACACAATACACACTTATTCCTTTGACTTCAATTGCACAGAGACTTGGTGGTTTTTATTTGTCCAGGTGATGAGGTTCCATGTAATGTGAATAATGACAGCCTTATTGACTGTCAAGACGGATCGTGCGTGACCTCTGACGCCAGATGCAATGGTTTTTTTGACTGCAAGAACCGTTTCGATGAACAGCACTGCAGTAAGTATGCATTCTATAATTTTAATTTCTTCGGAAATGAGGATACCTTCAGTTTAATCCTCTTATGAGACTGATTTTGAGGTCCGCATCACACCGAAATTGATGGCTAATTTTGTCAGGAAGTAAGGCGAAGAAAAATAGAAGGTCAAGATACTATTGACCCAATGCTTTAGATTCTAAGATTCGACTTGCAAGGCAAAAAGACATAAAGAACAGAATCGACCAAGTCGATCGTCAAGGAAGTACATCAAGTATCTTGAAGAGGCCTTGAAGCATTCTTTTCAGCGTTGCGTTTTTAACAAACATCTGACGAACTGTCACAAGCCCACCGACACCCTCAGATTGTAAAAAGGGGAGATTCACGAGATTTACACCTAGCTCGTTAGTTTCACAGCTTTAGTGTTTTTTCCCCTATTGCCAGACGTGGTGCACTGCCCTGATTTTTACGCGTGCTCTGAATCAACCAAATGTATCTTGCTGGAGGAAGTCTGCGACGGTGTTCCCAACTGTGACTTAAAAGACGATGAGGAAGACTGCGGTAAGTGATGTGGCTTTGAGGTCAGAGAAAACAGAAACCTTTTTAATCATTGGTAGGGTAGCACACCCCCCACAAAAAACACTCTCTTGAGAGATGAGAACGTTAAGAGGAATCAGATATGCACTAATATGCCTCATTTGACAGAAAATGTTCCACATAGAAAATTAATGAATTGATTGATAACTGAGTCTTGAGTTTTCGTGCCAAAGGAGACTGCATGCAACGTGAATTATTTTCGCAATAACCCCTCGTGGTCTTATATGTTCAAAATGACAGAATCTGCGAGAGGTAAACAGGCTTTAAAACGCAAAAAAAAAAAAAATCTTGCGTATTCATTAATAGAAACTGATACAGACACGTACCAAACGCACCTGTTTTTACCACTCTACCCTACATGTTTCTACTCCTGTGACTTCCCCCAGTCAGAAGAGTGTTGAATATTCTTAAAAGTGTATGTGTCCAAAGCTGGACCTAGCAACAGAGCCTCCTTTGGTAACAACTCCATTTCACTGGTTCACGAACGATTAAGAAATGCACGCAATGCGAGCACGTCGCTACCAACAAAACGAACACTCCCGACTAACACGGCTCTTTTCAACCGATGATTTGGTGCTTCGGCTCAAGGCTCATAGATAACTACACTCTCTTTAACTGTGTAATGCGTTCATTCAAACAATTTACAGTTAACTTTACGTTCTTTTTACAGAATGTACAGGTAACTGTAAACTCCTTGAAAATCCAAACTGAAGTGATAGACTGAAATCCCAGTTGTGACATTCAAGTATAACAACGTCAAGCACAAAGACAGACGCTCTTAACGTTTTAGACATTCTACGGATTAATTTTCTGAGTTTTCGATTTGCTGCGCTAATATTTTCTATGTTCGATAGCGATTATAGAGTTCAAATTGAGGTAAATCCCTCCTTTAATTTTACGTTTGACTGAATATGTC